TGAATACCTTATTTAATACAGCTAGCTAACACTCTTGTATCATATATGTATGATATACGGTTGTGTGTGTGTATGTGTGCCTTAGTGGGTGCAGTGATTTTTGTTTGTTTGTTTGTTCAGTTACATATATGGGTTTAGATTTAAAGTCCAGACAAAAGGACATTTTCAGTGACAAATTTTGTGGCCTGACAGTACAGTGCAGTGGGTCTGAATCCTCTTCCTGTTACCTCCCCGGCTCCAAATTGTTTTAAATGACCAATTATCCATGTTTAAAAGTGTCATACGCTCTGAATGCTATAGATAAGAGCAAACAAAAAGATTAATTGAAAGCAATGCTATGAATTTAATAAGTAATCTTTAATAATTATATAGTTTATATGCAGCAAAAACGCTAAATAAATCTCATTTAAGTAATAAGCGTCAACACATGATTGCAGGAAATGTAGTTACAACATTTAATTTACCTTCAGCAATGTGAAATGTCAAATTAAATTTTAATAATAAGCATCATATTTTCCCTTTTGTTAATCTACATGAAAAAACTAATGAGCTTCTCAGTACTATAATCCTATTATTTATCCTATAAAGCGCATCACTTTATCATTGTTGAAATTAGCTGTGTGTTTTACAATGCAGCAGTAAAAGCTTTTCCTTTGCATCTGTAATAAAAATGGAATAGATTAAAATGAGAATAATTATTCAGTTATGAAATATTCATTTCAATATACATTGAATACAATTTCTGGAAAATTATTAAAGTGTAAACATCACAAAGATTCTAATTTAAAAAGCAGGTTAGTGTGTTAATGGCTCTTGTCCTTTAACATCCTCCAAGCCCTTTCTAATGTGCTACATGACATGTCACCTGATGTAGTGGGACAGCTCATGGCTCATGGTCATGGACACTTCTGCTTCTGTTCTGTTTGTTACACATTTTCCATAGTAAAAGTCCTGTTTTGTGTTATCAGTCCCCTTATGTTAGTCTTTTTTTTTTTTAACTTTTATTTTTTTATTTCTTTCAATGTAACTTCGAAATACAAAAACACAAACGAAGAGTGAAGAAGAAAAAAAAAAAAAAAAAACAAAAACAAACAAACTGACAGGTCACCAGAGACATCACAATCTTGTATCCTTCCTACAGAATATAGTCATCTTTATAGTGCTGGGTTACGCTCCCAATAGCCCCCCTCCCTACACACACAAAAGGAAAGAGGTATGCAGTCAGTCTAAGTCCTTAGCATATTCACTTCAAAGCATTTCTATGTACTATGTATATTCATGTGTATTAACCATTTTGACCAATTCTTATAAAATTTTCCCATCTTTAGTCTTAGTGAGAAGGTCATTTTCTCCATCTCAAACATATCCTTTACAATCGCTATCCACTCCTCTTTTGTTGGTGGGTTCTTGTTCAGCCATTTCTTAGTTATAGCTTTCTTACTAGCGACCAATAACAATCTGAGGAGGTACTTGTCTTGAGAATCAAACTCAGTTGGTACTTTTCCTAAATATATGGTACCAAAGCTATGATCAATCTTAAAACCCAGTATTAATTCAATTTTAGTGACCACCATTAACCAGTAGGATTGCATTGCTGGACAATCCCAAAATATATGAAAATAATCAGCCATTGTGTTGTTACATTGTCTCCAGCAAAAAGCAGTTTCTGGGTTACCATTCTGTAAATATTTTCTTTTTGGAGTAATAAAAAATCTAATCATGTTTTTCCATGAGAACTCTCTCCACTGACCAGAGCTAGAGGTAGCATGCTGTGATTTACATATGTTTAGCCAGTCTTCCTCTGTTAGAATTATGTCCGCTTCCTTCTCCCATTTTTCTTTAACATATAAGGTAGAGTGAGACTTAGAGAATTGTATATTTGAATATTCTTGATACCAATTTCTTGTGAGTACCACATTTATATGCCTCAGCAAAAACTTTAATAAGACTCAATTCAATTCCCTCCTTACTTTTAATATTTTTATTAAAGTGATTCCTAAGCTGTAAATATCTATAGAAATCTTGTTTCACTAAATTATAAGTATCCGAGAGATGTTGGAAGCTTTCTAAACCAACTTCAGAAGAGACTGTACAGTATGCCTTATTACCCTTCCCTATCCATTGTTTAAACCGCACATCCATCTGTGCAGGTTTAAAGTCTCTATCGTATGCCACCCATCTTAGAAGACATGCTTGCCTTTCCAGCTTAAGAGTTTTACATTCTTTAAACCAAATGTTAAGAGGGACCAATGTCCAGTTACTTAGTTTATTGGAATACATAATCTTAGCATTTTTGTCCCCCAATAAGGAAGGGAGAGGAATGTCTAGCTGCTGAAATTCTAATTCTTTCCATTTTGCATCATAATCGCTAATACACCAACAAACTAGGTATTTTAATTGTGCTGCTTTATAATAATCTTCCAAACAGGGAAGAGACAATCCTCCCTTTTCCTTTGGTAATTGTAGCGTTTTAAATCGTACTCTAGGTTTCTGATTTCTCCATATTAATCTTGAGATCATTTGATTCCAGTCATTAAATTGTTTTTTTGGTATTTCTACAGGTAATGACTGAAAGAGAAACAATACTCGTGGTAAAAAATTCATCTTTATAATGTCTATTTGGTCATACAAACTAAAGGTTAGGGGTGTCCATCTGTCTAGGTCTGCCTTCAGTTCCTTTGTAATAGAACCATAATTAGCAATATAAGTTGTAGTCAGATTCTTTGGTATAATAACCCCCAGATATTTGATATTATTTGTTTTCCATTTAAAGTTATATTTCTTACGTATATTTTCCTGTGGTGAATAATTAAATGAGAGGGTTTGAGTTTTTTGCAAGCTTAATTTATATCCTGAATACCAACCGAATTGCTCAAGACAGGACATAAGTTTGGGTAAACAAGAATCAGGCTCGGAAATGGTCATAAGAATGTCGTCCGCATACAGACATATTTTGTGTTCAGTTTCTTTTATTGGAATTCCTAGAATTTCTGTATCCTCTCTGATTGCTTGAGCTAATGGTTCTATGAATAGTGCGAAAAGTGTGGGACTCAAGGGGCATCCCTGACGACATCCCCGCTCCAGTGTAATTGAGTGGGAGACATTGCCATTTATTTTGATTTTGGTTGTTGGTAAATGGTATAGCGGTCTAATGGTTCCTATAGCCTCTTCATTAAAGCCAAAACGGTGCAATACTAAATACAAATACTCCCATCGCACCGAATCGAAGGCCTTTTCTGCATCAAGGCTAATTGCCAGAGATTTTAAATTATTTTTGCTCATACTCTCGACCAAAAAAAAAATACACATCTCACATTATCATGCGTCTGCCTGTTTTTAATAAATCCAGTTTGGTCAGTATCAATTAAATCAGGGATTATATTTTCTAGTCTTTTAGCCATTATAGAAGCATATATTCTATAATCTATATTTAAAACTGAAATAGGTCTGTATGATCCACAGTCTGTCTTATCCTTTCCAGCTTTAGGTATTACAGATATAACAGCTTGTTTCCAGGGTACTGGGGTTTCACCCCCCTTTAGAACATAGTTAAAACATTTTAGGAGCATAGGTTTCAATAATTCCCTAAATATTTTGTACCACTCCGCCGGATAACCATCCCCTCCTGGTACTTTGTTTTTAGATTTGATATTGTACCATCAATCTCTTTTTCTGTGATTTCTTGTATTATCAATTTGTTTTGTTCCATTCCTATTGACGGTAAATCTAAAGACTCCAAAAAACTTTTTACAGTTGAGGGGTCAGCTGCTTCTGGTTGGGAATATAATTTCATATAATATTTCTCAAAAGACTGTAATATTTCTTCTGGTTTATAACGCATTACATCCGCTTCAGGATCTCTGATCTTAAAAATTGACCTCTCTGTTTGTTGTTTACGGAGTTTCCAAGCTAATAATTTTTTAGCTTTATGACCGTCCTCGTAGTAAGATTGCTTAATGTATTTGAGTTTAATCTCCACTTGTTTGTCAAGTATCTTGTTAATTTGCTGTTTTACCACTTTTATTTCATCTAGCAATTTAGGGTCATTTAATTCACTATGCTTTTGTTCCAGTGTCTTTAGGGTATTTGTTAAATTGGTCATTAGCATCTGGCTTTCTTTCTTTTTTCTTGAGGACCACTTAATGAGCTGTCCTCTCAATACCGCCTTAGCCACATCCCATATTACACAGGGTGACAAATCCTCATTATTATTAAATTTAATATAGTCTTTAATTTCTTTTCTAATATATTCTTCACATTGGCGATCATTTAGAAGACTAGTATTTAATCTCCAAATAGTGTTTTTAGATTGAACATCAAGATGAAGTCTCAAATACACCCCTGCATGATCTGAAACATCTTTAGTTCCTATTTCACACCCTATAATTCTATGTCTCTCTGAGTGAAACATAAAAAAATAGTCAACTCTAGAGTAGACCATGTGAGGGTGGGAAAAAAAGGTGAATTGTCGAGCAGATGGATGGAGCTCCCTCCATATATCAAACATGCCTGTTGTCTTAAGCATTTTCCTAACATACAGTGTCTCAGAATTCACCTTTTTTGATGGGCTTGAAGAGTCTAGGGTAGGGTGCAACTGTACGTTCCAGTCCCCTCCACAAATTAGAATAACTGATATTTCTGAAGCTATTAAATAAAATACTTTATTAATGAATATTTTATCCTGTCCCAGTGGTCTATAAACATTAAGTAACGTTACTTCCCTAGAGTCAAAGATCCCTTTAACCAAAATGTAACGTCCCTCTTTATCAACAATTTGGCTAGAAGATGTTAGTCTTAAGGACAGTAAAATACTCATTCAGCTTCTTTATTTGGCCCCAGTTGCTAAACATGTAGTTCATGTAGGCGTCCAATGATCCGCCACAATATTTAGACTTAAAAATATCATGGTGGTAAGCTGTAGGATTGCATTCTGTACTCATCCTAAGCTCCGCGTCATAAATATAACAGTATTTGTAAATATAGCATATTGTATTCAAGTGCAGGTTAGTGCGTTTATAGCTCTTGTACTTATCTAACAATTCCTCCAAGTCCTTTCGATAGTGGTCTACCATGTTTTGGACAGAAGCTACTCGAACGTCAAGGTTCTTTTCTTTCTTCGATCCGTATCCCGCCATCATGAGCCGCGCCTCGTGGATTAGCATTTGCGCATGGAACGCCGCGCCATTGGCCCAGATCTTCATGGCGCGGGAGCTCATTTGGCCATCCTTCAGCATGGAGTTCCTTAGGCGGGTCAGCTGCTCGCTCAGCTGTTTCTCCAGACGTTTGGTTTCTTCTAGCGCCTGTTTTGGTTCCCACACATACTTTTGGAGGCGTTTCAGGTACTCGTCCATGGAGTCTCTGACTCCTGAGGCCTTTTCTTCAGCGAAGACCCGGCGCATCATGTTCAGGGGGCTGTCCTTGGGAACCTTGACCAAAGAAATGACCATGAGGTCTAATAGGAAGGAGATGACCAACGCGCCCAATCCAACTGCGTTTGGTACATATTTGAAAGCAGATAAAGAGGAGCCCAGGTTGGTCATATAGTCTGGAACTTTGCTCACCAGGTCACTGACCAACTGAGAACTGTGCTGTTCTAGTACAGCTGTTGAATCCAGTCCTGAGTACATCAGTAAGGAGCTGTCGATGGTAATATCAGGAATCACACCATATCTCTCAGCATTATGGAACATATCTGAGATCATGATCTCTTCCTCTTCCTTACTGTACCTGCCACCCATGATGATGACCAGAGAGCTCAGATGCAACGTGGAGGAAAAGTAATAATACTGTGTTCCCTTTTGCTAGGATGTAGAAGGACTAAACTAACTTGTGGTTCAGGGATGGGGTGGCGTTCGCAGAAGAGTGCTGGTCAGAGCACAGCCAGGAATGTTGTCTTTCATTAAGTTTACTTCTTCAAAGCAGCATTTAGCAGTACAATAACAAACCAGTGGGCACAAGCCAATCCAGTATGTTTCTCATTAAGAAAACTGTAGCTGAAATAACTCCAACTCCGTGTGGGTGTGGTTCTAAAATTAATACAATCGAGAAAAACAATTACTAAACATTACTTTTGAACCTAATTACGATATAGTTATAACATATAGCCACTAGACAGTGGCACATAATGAATTTGTGCGTAATAGCCCGAGGGCGTTCTTCTAACAAACGGGAATAACAGCAGTAAAAAATTTATAATTTCAGCGAACAGTTACGTGAACATAACATGGTACAGAAAACTACCATATAAACGATCGGGCAGAATTATATTAACACCGTGCATACATAAATTAAATTAACTACAAGCAGTACAATAATGAAACAGAGTCCACAGGCCAATCCAGTATGTTTCTCATTAAGTAAACTGTAGCTGAAATAACTTTCAACTCCGTGTGGGTGCGGTTCTAAAATTATAACTACATCAAATACGGGAAGGATATTATACTCACTGAACGTCGACCATGAACGCACACCCGTAATCGTGGGCAGGAAACACTATTATTAAAGGAGATTAATGGAGAGGTAACGGCGAAGTCTTCTCTCTGGAGTGCGGGAGAACTTCAGCCTTTCCTGGGAGCTGCTGTAAAGGTCGCTGTGTGACAGACTGACGCAGCTCCGAATTCCGCTACTAGCCTACTGTCAGTGCCCTATGCGTAGGCTAGTAGCGGAATTCGGAGCTGCGTCAGTCTGCCCACAATTGCGGATGACATTCGGTGAGTATAATATTCTTCCCGTATTTTATGTAGTTAATTTTACTATCCTCTTCTCCTTCTCCCAGCAGGGTTTTAAGGTAACGTGCGTTGGATTAGTCTGGTCAGTGGTCATGACCCTGTAAATTTACCCAGTAGGTTACTAACAGTTGTATTCTTTTCAAGTCCAACGGCATTTCTCCCATTTCTACCTCCGATACCGCAACTGAGGTTGTCTTAAATGCTCCTGTACAAAGTCGTAATGCCTGTAATTGAATAGAATCCAACCGTTTAAGAACCGTGTCTGCTGCTGAACCGAAAACCACACTCCCATAGTCTAGTACTGACCTTATTAATCCAATATAAATAGCCCTTAATGCGATTCTGTCTGCACCCCATCCACTCCCTGTTAAGCACCTCATCACATTTAGAACTTTTTTACATTTATCCAACACTTTCTGAATATGCACCACCCATGTAAGTTTTTCATCTAACCACATTCCCAAAAATTTGAAACATTTCACTCTTTCTAACTCCTGATTGTAAAGTTTAAGTTTTAAATTAGTCATTCCTTTTCCTTATAAAAAACATTACTTTTGTTTTGTCGAGTGAAAACTTTACACACCACTTGTATGACCACTCTGTTTTCGTAATGGACTACTGCAGTTTCTTTACAATAACCTCTAAGTTCCTTCCTCTTTTCCAGATAGTGCCATCATCCACAAAAAGGGAAAACCACATCCCATTCTCAATGTCACCGAACACATCATTTATCATTAGAGAAAACAACAAAGGACTCATTATGCTGCCTTGAGGCGTCCCATTTTCAACAAAATATTTCTGCGCATAGCTCATTCCTACTCTAATTTGAATTGTTCTTGAGTCATCTATACACTCGGCCTGAGATGCCTAATTTACAAAGTTCAATTAACAAGCCCTCCTTCCACATCATGTCATATGCTTTCTCAATGTCAAAAAAGACAGCTGCAACACTTTCTCTGTTCACCTGAGCCCTCCTTATCTCATGTTCCAGACACAAGGCTGGATCCATGGTGTTCCTGCCTTTCCTGAAACCACTCTGGTATTTGGCCATATATCCTTTAGCTTCCAGAATGTGTGTTAACCTGGTATTTATCATTTTCTTTCTTACTTTACAAATGTTAGATGTTAACGCAATAAGTCTGTAACTACCTGGGTTAGTACAGTCTTTTCCCGGTTTGCATATCAGGACTATTATGGCTTCTTTCCAGCTTAGTGGCAATTCCCCTTTCTCCCACTCTTTGTTGTACAGCTCAAGCAGTATGTTTTTAGACAAATCACTAAGATGATTCATCATTGCATAGCAGACCCGGTCCTTGCCTGGCGCTGACTCCTTAGTCTTATTTAGTGCCTGATTCAATTCCGTTCTTGTAAATACAATGTTTAGTTAAGTCTGGAACATCTTCAAATCGCAGTAACAATTGCTCATTTTCCACTAATGTAATTTCCCTCCTTCTTTGCCCCTCTTCACTAATGTTCTCTGAGCTGTGAACTTTACTAAAGGTCATCGCTAACATTTCTGCTTTTTCCCCATCTGACTGCTATTATTTCATTATCATGTAGAACTGGATATCCATGCTCTCTCTTAATCCCATTCATCCTTTTTATCATTCCCCAGACTTTGCTAATGTCACTTTTGAGTTACAGAAGGACCTCCAAAACTCCTTCTTTGTTCTTTTAACTATCCTCCTAACGTTAGCCTGCAACTTTGTAAACTCAATCAAATTCTGAAAAGTGTGAGTTCTTTTTTAACAGTTTAAAAGCATTGTTTCGAGACTTAACTGCAGTATCACATTCCTGTGTCTTCCTATGTTTATCATGAGATCTTGGGATAGTCTGCTTTGCCGCCTCTAGAATTACTTCACAAATACAAATATTTAAATCATCAATATCCTGATTAATGCTGATTTTACTAATTTCTTGATCACTAATATCCTCCTGAGACCCAAGGAAAAAAGTGTCCTTCAATTGCAGGTTATTTGTCTTTGGAGGAAATAAGACATCTTACAATTTAGATTTTTTCAAATTTATTCTTATTTTAATTTCACAGCATGTCCTCTTTAGTGCACAACAAGAATAAATACGTTTCCCAACATCAGTGAAAAAATAAATGCAAAAATACAATGTCCACTACAATGGACATAAATGAATAGGTCGGGTCTCAGGAGGTGACACATAAATTTATCCCAAATCGCCCTATGAAATAACCATTTCTGTAGTCCTTCCCTTTTACAGCGTCCTAAATCCAAATTTATCATTATTATAAGATAATGATCGCTTCCTACTGTCGTGTCTGAAACCACGTCCCACATGCGCTTAACCGCCAATGTATCAGAAATTAAAGTAAGATCAATAGCTGACTTTATACCAGTTCTAACATTAATCCTCATTCCACTTCCATCATTAAGGCACAATAAATTTTTATTCTCCATAAGTTCTTCAATCACCATTGCATTTTCATCATTTTGAGCACCCCATAGTCTTAGAAGTGTCTCAGAGGTGTGAGGCAACAGTGCTAACCACTGCACCACCATGTCGCCCACTATTCATCATCAAAAATCCTATTTTGTCTGGTTTAGGCATAATCTGGGTCTGGACTGTTAACCTAAAAACATCATGAAATGAATGAAGACTACAGTATGGGGTTATTCACTGTGATATATATCACACATGCATGAAATAGTGTGAAGGAAAATGTTATACATTACAGTTCCCTCCAGTCCTACCTTGGGCCTGTGGATTAATCACAATGGTGTTTTGATGTTTAGGGGGGCAAATGACTGTGTAGTACTTTCTGTGTAGACAGCATCATTCCCATTAAGTAAGGAATAATTGACGACGGGCCGTTGAATTATTAGAAAAATAATGCACACCCGAGGTGGTGATGCGGCCACGACGCGAAGCGGAGTGGCCGTTACACCTCGGGTGTGCATTATTTTTCTAATAATTCAACGGCCCGTCGT